TTAAAAAAAATGCACACAAATTTGCTGTTATGTTAGTACTTCCACCGACTAAGAGAAAGAAAGGGATTTTTTTTAATCAAAATTTAGAATGTTCTAAAAAGACGGAAAATTTTTCTAAAAATAATTTTAAAATACTTTGTTCTTTCCTCTTAATATTAACATAAACATTTTGACGATAAAATTTTGCTTTCGTCAAGTTTAAGGCCGTTTTTGATCATGCTATGCTCATTTTCCAGCGATCTCATGGAGGTACCTAACTGTTAAGTGAAAGAAATTATCTTCGGACGAAATTCGAACTAGGATAGTCGTCATAGTATGTCGAACTTGCGCGATCCACTGAACAAGAAGTTTAGTCGGTTTTCTCTCGGTTATGCAAAAAAAAACAAACAAAAAAAAAACAAAAAGGTAAAGAAATCCACAACAAAAGAAAGAAAGAAAAAAAAAGTAATAAAAGAAAGAAAAAGAAAAGGAAAAACAAATGAACCCCCAAATTTTTGTTGTATTAGTCGGTAGACCTTTATCAATATTTGATAGAAACCAGACGACCAGACTTGCTGGATTTGTCACAGCCAATATGACTGTGCGCATTGGAAAGTTTATACCAGGTGCGAAATTAAACAATCGTGAAGACAAATGTTTATTCGTTTATTTACTTATTTACTTTTGGGGCGCCATCAATGTCTTATCCCTGTAAATGTGTCTGTAAAAAAAGACTGCTGAAGAAATAGCCAGATCGGACGCGCATTTAACAGGGGATAACGGAGGATAAGGATGCGTGTTACGAAATACACCGGAAACTTCTTCTATGTCCCGTGTTCCTTTAGGATGTAGGAGACTCTGTGTCTACACAATTTCCTATTCTGTGTAATTGTGAGTTAATTTTGTCTTTTTGCTATCCTTCCTAAACCCTGTTCTACCAAGTAATGAGCTCCTTAGGTAGCTTTATACACTGTTTTCCTTCTTTTTTTTCTTACATTTAATACGTCCTGTGAGTATCAATTTTGCCAAGCACACTTTCTTCATAGTATATCCTAGAAAGTTCAATTATCTCTTTCTGGCGTTAGGTATAAGTGTCCTTTTTGTTTTCATAAAACTTCCTCGCTACTTACATATTCAGTCCATGGTTTTCTCAACATCTTTCTGTAGAACCACATGTCTCTTCGTCTTTGATGAGATTGTCCAGCATTCACTTCCGGATATGAGGACGATCACTATCTATAAAAGGCAGGATGTGTGCGCGCGTGTGTGTGTGTGTGTGTGTGTGTGTGTGTGTGTGTGTAACGAATGTACGGCCGAAATTTTCGATGGATTTGCACCAAAATTTACATGCACATGCTCCAAGTTAGCGGGAAGGCCAAGACCGACTTTGCATTTCCCAATTCCCATCGATAGTGGAAATAATCGATTTTTTCTTGCTTCTACGGCAGTTTTCATGTAGTTTGCGGCCATTTTCTACTGGCCAGAGTGAGAGCCTATAGCTGGCTGCCACGAATAGGCAGGAAGATTCTATTGGCTAGCGTGAGAGCCAACAGCTGACTGACACGAATGTTAACTAGCATGCAAAAAAAAAAATCGATAGCTGCATTCGTCACAAGTGGGAAAAATTTAAATCTGCATGGCACTTTACTCCAATTGGCTCATTCGCTTGCTTAAACTCAACGTTGATTCTGATTCCGCAGAACTGGTTTGGGTGTGAAAAAGTATTTGTTGTTAACATTCTTTTTTCGTTCGGTTTTTCCAGTCACGAGTCCTTTTTTAAAGCTGATTGTTTTGTGTTCATTTTGTTTAGTTCTTTTTTCGTAACAGATTTAATGTTTAATATAGAGCTTAGAAAAAATTCGCAGTGTGAGATAGGCAAGAATTAAGGCATGTAGCAACATCAGCACGGCAAAGGGCACTCCTTTAAAGACAAGGAAGGGCAAAAATATTTTAAGTCAAGTGATAGCGATTGTTGTATGAGTCGTACGATTTTTGAATCAAGCACGGGCAACGCTAGTCTTACATAACAGTTAAATACTCTCCCTATCTAATGTCATTTTCCAGTTTCTTAATACTTTGCTTAGCTTTGGAAAGGCAATTTTCGCTATCCCAATGTTGCTTCTGATTTCGGGGCCGCACTTTCCGTCCCCTGTTAAAGCAATTCCCAGACATTTAAAGCGATGTATTTGCTGGATTTTAGTATCTCCAATTTGTAATTTGCATGTTTGGCTGTTCCTTTTGCTAACAACCATGCATTCTGTCTTCTTGCATTTAATGTTGAATCCTTTATTCTTGCTTTCCTTCACTACCTTCTGGAGAAGTTCTTGTAGTTTCCTTTCTGTATCAACATTGTATCATCTGCATATCTTATGTTGTTAAGATTATGGCCGTTAATAATGAATCCTGGTAGGAGTTGTACATTTCTCAGAATCGCTTTACTATGTAGATTGAAAAGCCTGCTGAGAAGACACATCCTTGTCTTATAACCTTTCAATTTTGGTATATTTACTGAATTCATTTTCTATCCGTATAAAGGCTATTTGCTCTCATTATAGGTGTTTACATACAACGGGTTAATCAATCTTACAAATATCTATCTATCTATCTATCTATCTATCTATCTATCTATCTATCTATCTATCTCAGTCTGTTCGTATATCTATCTATCTATCTATCTATCTATCTATCTATCTATCTATCTATCTATCTACGTATCTCTGTTCGTATCTATTTATTTCAGTTTGTTCGTATCTATCTATCTATCTATCTATCTATCTATCTATCTATGTATCTATCTCAGTCTGTTCGTAACTATCTCAGTCCATTCGTATCTATCTATCTCAATCTGTTCGTATCTATCTATCTATCTATCTATCTATCTATCTATCTATCTATCTATCTATCTCAATCTGTTCGTATCTATCTATCTATCTATCTATCTATCTATCTATCTATCTCAGTCTGTTCGTATTGATCTTAGTCTGTTCGTATCTATCTATCTATCTATCTATCTATCTATCTATCTATCTATCTATCTATCTATCTTGGTCAGTGCGTATCTATCTATCTATCTATCTATCTATCTCAATCTGTTCGTATCTATCTATCTATCTATCTATCTCAGTCTGTTCGTATCGATCTCAGTCTGTTCGTATCTATCTATCTATCTATCTATCTATCTATCTATCTATCTCAGTCTGTTCGTATCGATCTCAGTCTGTTCGTATCTATCTATCTATCTATCTATCTATCTATCTATCTCAGTCTGTTCGTATCGATCTCAGTCTGTTCGTATCTATCTATCTATCTATCTATCTATCTATCTATCTATCTATCTATCTATCTGTTCAGTCTGTTCGTATCGATCTCAGTCTGTTCGTATCTATCTATCTATCTATCTATCTATCTCAGTCTGTTCGTATCGATCTCAGTCTGTTCGTATCTATCTATCTATCTATCTATCTATCTATCAATCTATCTATCTATCTATCTATCTATCAATCTATCTCAATCTGTTCGTATCTATCTGTTTTTGTTCTTGCTTTCTTCCTTCCTGCTATATCTCTCGTTAACTTTCCTTCTTATCGTGTACAAGTTAATACCCAACATTGAGACCACTGGATAGGCCCGAAGCCTCCATTTTCCCAGCTTTATCTATCTATCTATCTGGATGTGTGGGTGGTGTAGGGGCTAGCGACTCGGAACGAGATATCGGAGAACTGATTTCGAATTCCAGTTGAGTTTCGTTACACTCACTTTTGTGCAAATACTCTTGGGATAGGTATGAACCTATTTCTTTCGTTCCCTCAGCTATGAATGAAGAAGACTCTGCATCCTTGATTGGCAGCCAGTCTAGGAGAAGGAAAACATTGAATGCAAAACCGTATGTATTGTTGAAAATACAGAAAGATAAAAATGGGCGTAGGATAAAGATGTGCTTTCTCTCCGGACTTATTAAACTTTTGCAGTGAGGTGATCCGGAGAGAAGTACAAGTCTTATCAGGATTTATTACTAGTGGACACAATCTTAGAAACGTAAGATATCTAGGTGATATATTGTCAATAGCAGGTACAGAAAGGAAGCTACAGCAGTTCCTACATAGTTTGTTAAAAGAAAGCGAGAGGAAAGGACTATTCATCAATTGTAAAAATGTATGATTGTCAAAAATAGGAACAGCCCAAGTTACGTACTATGAATGGGAGACGTCGAAATAAACGAGAATGAAAATTTAAATATCTGTGAAGTGTTGTATCAGAAGATGGAAAATATGACACCGAAATCCGAAGGTTGAGTTGGAATAGCGAAAGATGTCTTCTAATGAGATAAAATGCATTAAGAATTAGGAAAATTTCGTTAGAAACAAAAAAAGAAAAGAGTAGTGAACTATAATGTAATATGAATCTTCCTATATGAAAATACACAATCTCTTTACATATGAAGAAAAAACTTGAGGAAACAGAAATGTGGTTCTACAGTAGGATGATGAGAATACTATGGAGTGAACATGTGAGTAACGTGGAAGTCTTACGGAAAATGGAAACAAAAAAAAGGGGCGCTAATACTTATAATCAGAAAAGACATTTGAAATTTCTAGGACACGTAATGAGGAAAGCGGGCTTGGAGACTCTAAAACTCACAAGTCATATTAACGGCAGGAGGGGTAGAGGGAAACAGCGAGTAACATACCTAACAAGCTTGTGTAAATGGTTGGCAAAACAGGGATTGCAAGAGATAGCGAAAGGACTAACCTTACTAAGAGCTACAAAGGATAGGAAGTTGTGAAGAGCCATAATCGCCCTTGAACTGAAGGAGCACAGCATATAAAAAAGGAAGAAGATAGGAAGTTGTGAAGAGCCATAATCGCCCTTGAACTGAAGGAGCACAGCATATAAAAAAAGAAGAAGATGTAGCCCTGACGAAACATGCTATGCAGCTAACGAAAAGATCATGGAGTTTAAAATGACATGATTCTGAGTGCTGGAGTTTAATCAACTTATCTATCGATCTGTTAGATATGTTATCGTTGAAACACAAGTTTTCGTACGATCACCGAAGGTAAGCAACGTCAAGCTTGGTCAGTACATAGATGGGTGACCGCTTGGGAATACCAGATGCTATAACCTTGGATGTGTTGATAGTGTATTGAATAATAGCCGGGTGGGGGCTCCCGTTGTCTTTACAGAATCTTGATATTGACCTTAACCTTCTCCGGCTATTATGGAAGTTCAGTATTTATGGTGACCAGAGCACTAGCAACAAAGGGGATAAATTTCACGCTCTTCACTGACCACAATTCATACATTTCTCTTTTTAAACTATAAACTTATTCTTACGGTTGAGTAATGGATAGCGGTTCGGATTAAGGAATCGGAGAGCCGGGTTCGAATTCCAGTCGAATCCATTACATTCACTTACGTGCTAATGTCCTTATGAAAGGTGATTCATACCTTTTCCCCAGCTATGGGTAAATAGCAGGACAGACCGGGTTCTTTAGCTTTAGATGGCAACTGATCTATCGCAGAAAGAAATGGCAACCTACTATGGGAAAAAATCTGCCTCGTCAGTTATGTATCAAAAGATACATGATCGCCTAAGCGTGTATCACGCATGACACATATCTGACTGATTCCTTGTATATATGCCGAGTTCGAATTCCAGTCGAATCCATTACATTCACTTACATGCTAATACCCTTGGGAAAGATATTAATCCTCTTCTTCTCCCCTCCCCCCAGCTATGGGTAAATAGCAGGACAGACCGGGTTCTATAGCTTTGGATGGCAACAAGTCTAACGCGGAAAGAAATGGCAACCTACTGCGGAAAAAATCTGCCTCTTCAGTCATGTATCGAAAGATACATGATCGCCTAAGCGTGTATCACACATGGCACATCACTGACTGATTGTTTTCGGGGTATTAATATTATTATTATTTCAGTATTTTCTCAGACAAGGTCTTAATATCTGGTAATTAATTTGTTTTTCAATCAATTCACCCCAAAGAAGGCGATAATGTCACTAAGACGCAAGGTGGGGGGTCTACTAGGCGTGAAAGAGAATGAAAACAATTTAGAATAAACCTGAACCAATTCCTACACAGCGAATAAGGGATAAACTTCTACTGGTCCAAAGACCGTGGAGGAGTGTGAACCGGACGATGGGTGGCATTCTCTTATTGAGGAGGAAAATAAGTAAGTCGATAGTAAATCAAATTTCAGAGTTCAGACGTTAGAAATATAGAGTTGAAGTAAATTTCAGAAGGAACCGGAAACACAATCCTAAACAGGAAACACAATCCTAAACAGGAAACAAGGGTTGAACCTCTACTCTTATTCAAGACACCGGGTACGAAATTTGAACCGGATATAGTCAATATGGCAGTAAATGCTAGACAATGTTTTCAAAGATGAAAGGGAGACTTGAGGCAAGTGGTTCTACAGAAGGATGATGAATATAACATGGACGGTGCCGGAAAACAATGAATGAACTGTAAGGAAAATGTACAGATAAGAAACAAAGTCTGTCTATATTTCTGAGATGAGATATTATGTACATTATTTACATTATTCGGACTATTGTTCTCATCTTTGTCGCCATATTTATCACAACGTTTCGGCCGTTGTACGCTCCGGCCTTCTTCAGGTGGTTGGAATTTCGAACTGAACCCTTTATTTGTCCTCCTCACGGACACATGGCACAGTGGATAGAGGCGTTGGTTAGATCCAGTGACAGGACCCAAAGAGTATGAGTTCAATACCCGGTTAAGGCAGTGGAGAACTTTCAGAGGGAACTTAGCAGGAGATAACTAATAACTGACATCCATCAAACATGGCATGTGGAACTAGAAAAGTCTACCCCAGTGAGCGAAATAAAGGGTTCAGTTCGAAATTCCAACCACCTGAAGAAGGCCGGAGCGTACAACGACCGAAACGGTGTGATAAATATGGCGACAAAGATGAGGACAATAGTCCGAATAATGTAAATAATGTAGATAAGAAACAATTAGAATCAGAAAATAAGTTGAAATTTCTAGGATACACAACGAGAAAAGAAGGCTACGAGAAACTGACACTCACAGGACGTATTAAAGGGAAGATGCACAGAGGGGGAAAAAAGCGAATAACATACCTAACGAGCTACTGTAAGTGGATAGCAGAAAAGATATTGGGAGGAAGTTGGAGAGGGCCATATGCATATGATTGCGGGCCGTAACCAGAAGTTAAGATATCATGCAATTTGTCTCTAAGTATTTATCACTTTTTCCAGATTATTTTTGCTCTTCCTGAAAGGCTTTTTTTTCTGTAACCTTTCCACTGAGTAATTTTCTTTATCTATTTCTCTATTCTGTCAATCACCATACAAAATGTATTAAGGACATCCGGTAAATTGGACACTTCTTCAACTTCCAGTCTTGCGATTTCAAACTTCGACAAATCATAATTGATTACTTTCTCTTCATCCTCCTGTTCTATCCTTATCTAAAGGATACAATGGATTAATGATTAACCCCCTTTTTTTTTTTCAATTTAACCTGTCACAAATATGCCGGGTTTGTTGTGCTCTAGTTTCTTATCTGTTTATATTGAAACATCCCACCAAATCTTGCATGTGTCTGCTCAAAGACTTTTCTCGCTGAAAATCGCACTTCTCACACCATTTCCAATGGATGATTTTCTCAATTTTATCTTGTCTCCATTTTTTATCCTCATTCTGAGCTAAAACTGGACACTCAATCACAACATGAGTTGTAGATTCATCAAATTAGCGTATATTCTACAAACGTGATACATTTTTTGTGGACAAAATCTTCCTAAGATTATTTGAACTGATATATAAAGATGAGACTTTTTTTAGATATTAAGAAAGAATCGATCTATCTATCAATCTATCTATCTATCTATCTATCTATCTATCTATCTATCTATTTGATCATTATTTCTATCTATCTATCTATCTATCTATCTATCTATCTATCATCTGATCATTATTATCTATCTATCTATCTATCTATCTATCTATCTATCTGATCATTATTTTATATCTATCTATCTATTTATTTACTATCTATCTATCTATCTATTTAATCATTATTTTTATATCTATCTATCTATCTATCTATTTGATCTTTATTTTATATCTATCTATCTATTTGATCATTATTTTTATATCTATCTATCTATCTATCTACTTATTTGATCATTATTTTTATATCTATCTATCTATCTATCTATCTATCTATCTATCTATCTATCTATCTCAGCCTAGTCTCGTCAGATGAGACTTTCATATAAATGTTATACTTAGCTCCAAAATCGTTCATAAATAACTAAATTCTTAGCTATATACACCCGCTTTCTCAGATCTATAGTTTAAAATACCAATTTTCCTAATCCATGTCTCTGTTCTCCCGGGTACTCTACCAAGTACCCTAATGACAACTGGTGTGATTGTGACCTTCTTCAACTTCCAAAATCATAGTTGATTGCTTTCTCTTCTACCCTTTGCTCTATTCTTATCTAAAGGATACAATGAATCAATAATGAACCCTTTTTTTCCTATTTTATCTTCCACCAATATGTCCGCTTTGTTGTGTTCCAGTTACTTATATGTTTGTATAGAAAAGTCCCACCAAATCTTGCATGTTTCTGACTCAAGGACTTTCTCAGCTCCTATGATTGTACCATTCCTTTTCTCGCTGAAAATTGCACTTCTCACACAACTTTCAACGGATGATTTTCTCAATTTGATCTTGTCTCCACCTCTTATATCCATTTTGAGCTAAACAAGGGTTTGACTGGTTACTTAATTTGTTCAACAGCATATCAACTCTTTATGGGTCATTTAATGCTGAAATTTAATTTTCTTGGGAGCCGTGAAGTAATGAGAATATATCTTATTCTGCTTTCACAATTGCATACATGGTAGAGAATACTCAGCTTTTGTGCATATACATGTTTGTGTGGACATAATTACTAGAGGCTGTGAGATGTGTGTTTTATGTTATAGTTTTGTTGAAGTTATATTTTTGGAATACATTTGATACCTTTGAGACATTGTAGGTTATGATATGGAATAATGCCATGAAAGAATTCTTTCATGTTGGTTGATTTTGTTTAGCGACATATCAACCTCTGTGGGTTTATGTAATACGAAATCTAAATACTGGGTGACCCCAAAAAACGGGAATTTTTGAAGTGCGTATTGCCAGACATGAGCAAGTGGCAACACTGCGAGACAGTGACCTTGAGCAAGTAAACATTTCGCCATTTAGAATTCAAGATGAAATTCACAGTATCCAAGTTGAGATGTTGCAGCAGTTAACGAGGAATTTCAACAGCAGATTTCAAGAATGCATTCGTACAGGAGGACGCCATCGACAGGACGTAATTTTTAAAAAATGAAAATTTCATCATTATTTATTAAATGGCATGTTTTAAGGTTTCAATTACTATGAATAAAATATTTTTCTTCCATCACTCTTGGTTTTATTGGATTGTTAAAAAGTTCCCGTCTTTTTGGGTCACCCTATATTATGAAACACAATTTAATGTCGTTAATCCTGCTATTAAATGTGTTGCTGGTAATTTTACTATAAATAGGTATTGCTATTATTTTTTTTACTATAAAAATGTATTTTTATACTTTCATAGTGTTTTGTTTTTGTTTGGGGAGTCAATATTTGCCCGAAGCTGGGACCCTAACAGTTGCTACCACCCCGGGTCAGAATGAACATGGGAACAGCAGCAATTAAGAGGTGGTTCCACGCTCCTCAAATGCTCCAAACTGCCGATCAGAGGCCTTGCTGCCGGATGTGGTGTATCGTCATACTCAGATTATTTGAACAGGTATATAAACACGAGATTTCTTTCAAATATTGAGAAAGAATCTATCTATCTATCTATCTATCTATCTATCTATCTATCTATCTATCTATCTCATTAGATCCAGAGTTTCATAAGAATTTTATACTTCGAGCTAAGCCGGTTCATAAATATCTAAACAGTTAGTTGTATACAATCGCTTTCTCAGATCGATGGTTTAAAATGCCGATTTTCTTTATCCATGTCTCTATTCTACCGGGCACCATACCAAGAGCCCTAGTGGCAACTGGTATGATTG